CCCCCCAAAAATCCTTTTAATTTCTATGACCCTGTTTACATCTGAGCGTTTTGTCACAATAAGCAAAACGCCTGTCACTGTCATATTCCAGCTCGTTTTGGCCCCATAGACTGAATAGCAAATGCTTGAGAATGTTAACACCCCTGTCAGGTTTTTATTACTTATGATCTCCGGTACAGAAAGTGATATTAAACCCCAAAATTTTACAGTTGTCACATAGACAGGTGGCGAGGGGTTAATTGTCCAATGGGGACACCTGTTCTGGTGACAACTAAAAATAGGATTTTCTTTAACGTTTGAGGGATTTGTTTTTTATTTCCTGTTCTGTCTATGGGACAGGAAGTAAATGGGAATCTCCCCTACAGGGAACCCTGTGATGGACTGCAATCTCTACGTGGAACTACAAGTCCCATGAGGCATTGCAAGACTGACAGTTACAGGCATGACTCCCGGAGGCAGATGCATGTTGGGATTTGTAGTTAAAGCACGGCCGGAGTTTCCCACCCCATGGGAGAGCGCCATCTATCAGTCAGTGGGAGGAATGCAGACTGAGGAAATGTGTCGCTCTCTGCCTGGCTGTCATGGTCAGCCTTTGGCTTCAGTGCTTTTTCAAATACCGACACAGAACCAGTATAAGAAGCTTGGTGCTCACTCTGACCCACCTTGCTTGTTCCAGGACATGACTGTTGGAGCCAGGCAGGTAGCAATTTATCAAGAAGACCAGAAAGAGAAGACTAAGGGGGTTATTCACACAGCTGCCGAAGTGAAGTGAGCCGAACGCTGTTTGGGCTATTCACTTCATGCGTGTCCCCGCACACCGACTGAAATCAGCCGTACATCGGCTGCACTTTGGTCAGCAGAACATGCTCTGCACATCTGGATCGGCTGAGCCGACGCTCCGACAGCTCACTCACTGCCGTCTCGGCTATTCTGCTCGGTACCTCCGTGGTACCGAGCAGAATAGAAAATCATTGAAAATTAGTTTAAAGAAAATAAAAATTAACATATATTTTAAAATAAATAATAATTTGAAAAAAAATTGGGTGGAGCTAGCAGCAACGGCTATCTCCGCCCCAACTTTGTCCTATTGGCTGGCACCTGCTAGACTCTTCTAGCAGATCCCGGCCAATGAAGAACAACTGGGCGGAATAGGCCGTGGCGTCCGCCCAGTTGTTATTGTTTAATGACAGATCAGCATCCCCAGGTCATTTGGGGATGCTAATCTGTCATTCCAACTGGGTGGGGCCAGCCGTTCCGACTTTCGTTAAAAAATTAAAGTGAATCGGACATGTAACTTTTCTGGCCAATCGGATGTGCTTTTCCATTTAATGCATCAGAATGGGTCTGAACACAAATTTCCGTTACAGCAACATGGGAGGCATCTGATTGGCCAGAAAAGTCACATGCCGTAACGAAAATTCGTGTTCAGTATATACATATAATACTAAAGCCGAGGCTCCTAGACCCCAATGGCATTCGGGATCCGAATTTCCGAATTGCACTGGGGAGCTCCTGAATGCCATTCCGGTCTGGTAGCTTCAGACTTCAGTATTAATATCAGTATCTGGTTTTCTGTGGTATCCGCAACGAATATTTGTAAACTCCTCCGAAACTAACGAAATTCAGATTTAGTCCGAATCCGAAACACAAACCGAATTGAATTTCGTCCGAATTCCAAAATATCCGAACCGAATTTGTGCGCAGCTTACATTGTCTACTGGCCATACACTTTACAAATGTTCTCACTCAGACCTGCAGGCTGATGGCTGAAGGAGCAAAGACCCTCAGTGCCCCATCCACACTGAACAGGATGTACAGGTGAAACTCGAATAATTAGAATATCGGGCAAAAGTAATGGCCGTAAGTGCTGCAAAAGGGGCCCAAACCAAGTACTGAGTACATATGCATGCTTGTACTTTTCAGAGGTCCGATATTGTTCTATGTACAATCCTTGTTTTATTGATTGCATGTAATAATCTACGTTTTTGAGGTTGTGGATTTGGGGTTCTTGGGGTTTTCATGAGCTGTAAGCCATAATCATCACAATTATGACAAATCACGGCTTGAGTTATCTTGCTTTGCATGTAATGAGTCTCTCTCATATATTAGTTTCACCTTTTAAGTTGCATTAGTGAAATAAATGAACTTTGCACGATATTCTAATTATTCGAGTTTCACCTGTATGTAGTTACCCTCATTTTGGAGGGGTTTCCTTTCACTTCCTGTTGTGGCTATGGGACAGGAACTGAATGGAAATCTCCCGAATGGGACACTGATGGCAAAAAAAGCTGACGGGGCGTTTTAACTATCCAAGAAAAAAAAAAAGGCTTCGGCTTTAGTTCTTCAGTATACAAAAACTGAAGTTTCTTTTCTTTTTTTAGGATTCACACCGCCCAGTTGTGTGCCCCAGTGATAAGGACTAGGGAGTTCCCTCTCTCTATCTAGTCAGCTCCAACCATGACTTGAATGTTGTTCATAACTACACATTGTATACAGAATGTACACATCATAGACGGTAGTCAGAGGTATAAACGGAGGATATCCCCTTGGGGTTTCTTCTCCCCAAATCTGCCGCCGTTGTTACATCTTATAACTCAAACTGATCGGATCTGACGAGATCGAATACACACCCACCTGTCACGTATCACCGCACATCGCATCTGTGGCGCACCAGTAGGCCCCATTCACACTGTGCGATTCGCAAATCACACAAATGCTTGCATTGCAGAAAATGGAATTGCGGCAAAATCCGCTCCAAAAAGGGTCCTGCTGTAGCGACGCACGACCTGCGACAGCAGGACCCTTTGCCCCATTGCCTTGCATTGGAGAGCGATATCGCGCGGTAAATAGCCGCGATATTGCGGGAATTACCGCGCGATAAATCGCTTAATGTGAACGGGGCCTTGATAATATGTAGATGTGCAAAATCGAATTTTAGTGTGAGACAGCAAATAATAATTTACATCAATGCAACATGTGCTTCAATATTTAATAAGATTTCCTCTCCCCCCATCCGGGCAGGACAGGACAAAACTAAAACATTCAAGAACAGAGAGGCAGGGCCTTTTGCATGCTGCCGTGAAGATGTACCAGGAAAATTACAGAAAGGTGAATATACTTGTTTCTGTTTTCATCATGGCAGCAGATAATGGGTTGTGGTCT